TGGGTATAAAGAGTGCGTACTTATTACCGCTGCTTTGGCAGCACGTGTTAAGCTTGAGTTTTGTTCGCGCCGCCAAGAGCTAAAACTCGTCTAACTGTAGAGGTAATTGCACTTACTTGCCAAACCATTTCCCAGAAGTCTGTCATTGTGTTCTCCAAAGGAGCCTGCGTCAAAATGTAATTGCACTGAAGCGACGGAAGCTTTACCCAGTTGGCGTGGATGTAGTCGCTACTGGTGTTGCGTAAAACGACGCGCGTTTTGTCGAGGCATGGAACGTCGCGGTATCGGTTCTTATTCCTCTTTGACTTGAAGTTCTTCAGGAAGTTGAGCACCTCCTTGGACTTCGGTCGGCTGGGCAACCGGAAAAACTCACTCGTTATTTTGGTCATGACCACCTCGCACGGGGAAGCTGCCAGTTCGCGCATCCAGTTCACCGGCTTCTCGGCAGACGCTGAAGTTGATCCCTCAGCCACGCTGACCATGACAAACACCTTTCGCTCCCAATATACGCAGGTCACCCTCGCTTTCTGGAGCAGAATCGCTGACATTACACTGACCTCATCACCTGCTCAGCGAAGCGTTCAGTTTAAAGTGCCTTACGCTTAAAACGTATTTTAATGGCTGCATTTTGGGCGTGCTTTCGTGTTAATTTAAACTCATTTTTACGATTTTGCTACGCCGTTGCCCGTCCCAAGATCGAGTGAGAAAGGAGGAGAATTTGAGACCGTAATGAGATCTCCCTGAAACTTTGCCACACACCTCGTGGTTTTGCCGCGACTGAACATTGTACCAGCTCGGTCGTTGCCCGGGTTACCACGGGCAACGCAGGCTATTGAGGGAATGAGGCAGGCTGCGAAAAGTCGGCGATCAGAACCTGTTCATTCACCCTCTGTCAGCCGGCGGCATAGCAGCACAACAACGTCTGACGAAGACCGACGGAACCACGACGAAGATACCAGACAGCAACTGAGGTCTGAACGGAGGAGACAGACAAGGCGATGCCATTATAGCACGTCAGAGTAAGCTCCATGAGAATGGCACCGCCAGGGAGAGCAGAAATTGGAATATATCCTCATGCATAGGGAAAGAGCAAGAGTTAGTCGATGAGGCCGTAAAGTGCCAACCCGACATAGTTGGACTTTCGTCAACGAAGCAAAGCTCTGGAATTCGAAACCTCTGCTTATGGAATCTGTTCTACTCAGGGGTCGATATCAAAACGCACGCTCAGACTGGTGTTGGCGTAGTGGAAGAACTAAACCTGGCTCAAAGGATCAATGGATGGAACCCTGCCAGTGGAAGAGTATCTGTTCCCTGACTGACGCTACAGCAATCTAAAGGATGAACCTTGTTACAGATCTATGCGCCTTATTTACAGGGAGAATATGAGTCTTTCCTTGATCAAGTGGAGTGTGATTTGTACAAAGTGCCGATTACGGAGTCCCTCATTTTAATGGCGATTCTAATGCACATATCAGAGCAGACGCTGAAAATTGGAACGGCGTGATTGTGTA